GTCCTCTCTCTCTCTCTCTCCCATTGTGTAATTACTGCAAGAAACTGGTAAATTACCCTATTCACGTGAGAGCACTAATTGTCAGACTTGTGGAGGTTTTTAGTCAGGCACGCTTACCCAGTGTGGGTGGACTTTGTGCTCTTTGTGGGAATTTCTCTCCACCTTTTTGGTTTTCAGGTATAAACGACGAATCGGAGGGAGGAAAGAAGGGCGACACGAATGTGGCTCTTGAGGTAATTCACAGCCTCTAATTCATGCCTTACGTCCAAGTTGTCAGGAGTACATTGTGATCCGTCTTTTTTGTCCCTCCTCTCCCCCCGCCCTTCACTTCTCACTTTAGGACGACGCATTGCGATGGGCTGAAGAGAACATTCCCTCATCACAGCCAAGCAGGTAGGTGTTTCCCACTTCCTCCATTATTTTACCTTAAAGCCCCTTCGTCAGCCCAACCACTGATTGGTTCGGTTTTTAATCGCCCACTTTTTGCCTCCCCCCCCCCTCCCGCTCCATCGCCCTAGGAACGGCGCGAACAAACAGTCAGGTCAGGGCGGTCATTCCGCTGCCGCCACCGCCGCCGCTGCTACTCAACTCAAACTCGACTAGCACTGCGTACACACAACGCCTTCGTTCCTCATCGCCCAACGATTGGCATAACTTTCATCTCCTCATTTTCGTCCATTTACCGCCTTATCAATTTTCACTTTGAGCTGTTGACTTTACTTACGGTGTGGAGATGTTCTTTTGTGACTGTCAGACAAGAGTAGATGACTAACTGTAAACAAATTATTTTGATGTCTCTTTGCAATTCTACACATAATGTCTGACAGCAATACTACTTGCCGCTCTGGAACCAGTAAAATTTGTGCGTCTCTCCTCTCTGTGTAGTCTCTTTGTTTTACTTTTTTTTTTCACCTTGGGAAAGCTACCGTGCTGTCAAGACGTGTTTAGGTGGGTTTCAAAGTGAAGGCTAGGTGGATTGGACTACTTAGGATTGCTTACAAGTAGGGTGAGCTTATTGCTCTCAGAGGTGTCGTAGGGTTCCCCAGCGGGCCTGAAACTCGAAAGACGGTGGAGAGTCTGCTTTTTTGACGTGAAGCGGAGTATGGATGGGGTGAACTGCCATGCCGTCGTCTCGTTCCCAGATCCTCTGTCATCGAGGTGAGTACTGCTGCACCGCATTTTGCCTCTGTAAGCACTTCTTATTTCCACTTTGTCAAGTCGTATTGCTCATTTGTGTTACCCAACAAAATCGACTAACTTTGTACCTGGTAGTGACAGTCACTTTCTACTTATTTGCTGATCAGTAGTATGCGTCGCTTCGGGTCTTGTATTACGGTTAGTGAGGTGAAAAGGGGTTTATCCTTGACGGACAGTGGAAGTACACAACCGTAGGTATGACCAGGAGGTATTAACTACTGGAGACTGAAACCTTTAGGAAAATGTGGTAGGAAAGGCGGATTGTGGTCAATAAACAGGTGTCTAGTCATCAGCTTTTTGTTTGATTTTTCCTTCTTTCCAATTTTCAGCGTTTTAAATGAGTGTCCAGTGGTGCCAATCACAGGTTTCATTTTGAAAATTTACTTTTTTTTGTAAAGAAGTAAAGGGCAAACAGCTCTTGGCTAAACTAACTTTACCGTGGGCAATTGATTCGACGGGGTTCCTACGTAAAGGAGAAGTTATGGAAGCCTTTCGGCTGACCTGATACCATGTCAAGAAGCTTTGTGTGGGACACCAAGAGGTGAAAAGGCGTCAGGCATATTTCACCCAACCCTGCAGTCGTCATGGGACACGCAAATCTAACGAACGCGTCTATCATAGCCGTCCAGGTCAATGACATAGACCTTACGGAATAGCGCCCATCTAAGACTAACAATCAACCATCAGCCGTGGAGTGCTAGACTTAATCGTTGCCTCAAAGAGGAGGCAAGTCTAGGTAATCAGGTGGTTGCCTCGCGAAAAACGCTACACAATGAAGGTATCAACTGCGTATAGTTGGATCAGTGGAGGCTCATTGGGGAAGGATTGATAAAACAACCGAGCCCGCCACTTGTTTGATGGAAAATTATGGGAAAATTGGCGAGATCTCAAGTCCCAAAGCCTTTACTTGTTACAGGTTCACTTACCGGAAAGCTGTTTCACCCTTACACCGTCGAAATTTGAAATGTCCTTCAAAGGCGTGGGGTCATCTGGCTGTACCTCTCTCCTGCCATTCTGGGAAGCACTTGAAGAGCCGCATCAATGACAACCATCCTGGTTTAAAAGGAAGAATACCCTGATTCTCGACTTCGAGTTCTACAGAATAAGTGGTGGCGGGGTGGGATAGGGTTTTGTCGAATCGCAATCCACATGGAAGATAGACTTGTTGTACTTCCCAATGGAAAGTAGCCATTTCGGGGTGCAATAATTTCCTTCCATTGATGCTTCTACACAAATTTCACTGCAAAAAGTGGTTGACGGATTGGATACGCTCGATTTAAACCATCGTCCAGATAGTGTTTGCCTTGAAAAGGTTCAAAATTCAGAAATCCGAGGCCGACTATATGATAGACAAAGAACTCCAACTGTGGCTCCTGGATGTCGCTCTGACGGCACGGCGTTCTCCTTCCAGTCGATATGCACGCTTAACTCAGGCTTTGTGACTCGATAACTCCCTCTGGGGTGAAGCATCTACTGAATTGACACCAGGGACAACACGCTTTCCTGTTTAGTTAACAATTTCTTAAAGAGGTGTGTGGAAATTTGAAGAAATACTCAAGCTTGTTAAAATCGAAGGGCATCAAAACCTTAACAATGCTGTGGTACTTAAAACACTTATCAGTAGCACGTGCGGGAGACGGTCGATCCTTTCCTGTTCAGCGATCCACCTAAGCTACTTATGTGCGCACTAGTAGCATCACATGCATCATTTAAAAAAGCATTCAAATTTGGATGATTTGAAGTTTATTTGCATCACCGAAAAGCAGACTCCCTGTAATGCGTTTACCTGCTGACCTCAACGGGTGAGGAAAGCCAACTAACCCAAACACGGCCTTGGATGGTGGGTCACGTTATGAATGAGTGCAGCGGCGTCGGCGTGATCCCCTGATGCTGCCGTGCGCCATCCCACTCGGGGTTAAGGCCACGCGCAATGCAAATAGTTTACCTTAATTTGACACACCTTCAAGGTGAAAGGGGCAATCCGCATGGGCGAAGTTTATTGCAGAGTATTTTTATTTATTCGGAATAAATAAAAGTCGACTGTTCATTAAGCCCAATTGATGGGCTCGTGCGATATGTTCTAATTTATTGCCCAGCGAATTGGAGCCTCGTTTCTGCTCGGTCTCGGTTGTGCAGCGATGCCATCCTCCCTGCGTTCGTCTAGTGAACCGTTAACGGACGGCAGTAACCTGAACAGATCTTTACGACGCCAAGATGATAAAAGAAGTTTTAGGGTGATAGGAGGGCCCATGTAGGGCAGCATGTAACCAAAATGAATGTCTTTCTGCTACGTCTTTACAGTTGTGCCTCTTGGTAGCCTTCTCAACGATGCTCTGAGCATGGCGTTTTAGGTGACTCGAAACGTGGTTGCCAAAGGTAACGTGGACATGAACGCATTCTTCCAATTATTTCTCGGTCGTTAGAGTTGAATGTTGAGGAAATTTGGCTCCTAATTTACTGGTAGCCCTAAATGTACATTCTTTTGGAATGCCTCAATGCATCCTCCAAGTTGATTCTGGCGATAAGAGCGTGCAAGTTGCTTCTTACTTTGTTTAATGGGAATTATGTTTAAAATTAGAAAGCATCGGTGAACGTGTGCTTGCATAACATTATAGTCAACGAATGGATAGCCGAAACCTTTTGTGATACTAAAGGTGCGACTTTAAACAAAGGCAACTAAATTTGCAAACTTTAGCGTAATATTAGCAACATATATATTAAAAACAGCAACAAAAGGCAAATGTACAGGAGGAAGGGGCTGGGGAAAAAGCATTTCCGTCATCTCGATTAAAAAGCCCCTTCCTAAAAGAAGGAGTCCCATTTAATTTCAAATGCTAAATATAGACGTAAGTGAAACAAAATTCAGGCAGCAATTTAGTTTACAACTAGACGTTTTAAACCCCCAAAGAGGTCACATTTGATTACAGTTGCAACTTTAAATCCCGAGCAGTAATTCGCGATTGCAATGGCGATACCTATCTAACTCCATTTCACCACACATGTTTGTTGATAATCAACATGTTCATTTAATAAAGAAAAATAACATGTTTGTTCTAGCATTTGTTAGTGTTCCGATCATCGCCGTAGTTGATCAAGGCTACTCGAAATGTCAAATCACTTAAAACAACAAATAACTTTAGTCCCATTTATGCCCTGGAAAAGAGCACCTGTCACCTATTTTATGTGATCCAGATGCTTCAATATTATGTCCAAGCCTCGAGACCACCAAGAAAAACAATTCTTATTAATTCGCCTCTCACTGCAGACACCCCAAACGTCCCACCGGAGCACGCTTTACCGTAACCAAGGTGGTCGTGGATTGACCTCCTCCTGTTTTCTCGAAGCAATTCCAGTCTCCCTTATTAATGTTTGTCGAGACTGTAGCTGGTCGGGTGTTCGTAGTGCTCTACACTAGGCCATCCCGGTGCGGCCATAATTGAACCTCTTACTCCACTCAACCGCGATACCACTACGAGGAAGGAATCATATCCGCATGTTAAGTATATGCACTGACAGGTACAAAATGTCACACCTTCCTCAGGAATTGCCATCACTTCATCACCCGTCCATCTTACAAGGAAGTTACAACATTTTCTTGATTGCTGAGATTATTAGCAAGTTCACGTTCGTATTTCTAGATAACCTCCCGAACTCTTTACATAAACTTTATTTCTGTCATGCAATTAGCTTTACTTCGTTTACGCATCGATGACTGCCTATAAAAAAAGACGTGATCCGAAGGGAATGCAATCCTAGACGCTTAAGACATATGTTTGCCCTTAATGGGGACATGATAGTTACAAATGAACCAATCACACAGCAGGGTCATTAAACAGTCCAAGATTATCCATTAAAAACATCGACCTCTGAAACACTTTGTGGGAGTTAACAGTTTTATCCGCACCTTACGAGCGCCTGAACCTATTTGATGACCCCATTTCAGCAGAAGAGGCAGAATACATATGGCAACTCTTGGTCCAAATTTAACCATCTGTCCATAAACAGGAAGTCTTTCATGTACCTTTATTCCAAAAAACATTTTTTTCCTAACCATTTGGCATTAGGATAGCTTCCATGCCCACCGACCAATTAGGGCTCAGGAGGTTGGCCAATCAAATGACTAGCTGTTGAAGGCATTGTACAATAAGGAAAATCTGAGTTTAGACCATGCAACGACAGTGTTTGCCCTAGCCACCCCTTTGCATTAAAGGCAAAAATTTGTCCCATTCATAAACCACTCAAGAAAAGTGGAATCTTAAAAAATAAGTATTCTTCTAACAATTAGAAAAAGCCGACCTTTAATTGGTCAGTTTGAAATCTGTTCTCACCGACCAGCCAATGAGGGCACGGGCTTTTTTTACGCGAATTTTTGCCGTTCAAATGTTTATGGCAATTTTCCCCATGAAATTTTATTTCCTGCCTAGAGTGTTCATCCAGGCCCCTGACAAACTGGAAGTACTCTTATCGCCAAGACGCTCGTTCGTTCTTTGGCTGGAGAGAGAGAGGATAAGTGGCGCAATGACCAGGAGTTGGGTATCGCACAAAACTGTCCCACCAAATGACTCGCATTCTAAGATGGTTTAATTAAAGCAACATTTGCCTTCCAGAAGCTATTCTATGGGACCGAGTTAGGGTTACCATGAGTTTGTTGATCCTGTGGATTGAGTTTTTTTACTTGTTATTTCCGAAAAGTTGATCTAAACGGTGTTCTCATGAACTACGTTTAGGCTTTTCTGCCACATTTAAGCAAACTTTTGCAGAACGAAATGGTAACAACCAGCCCTAGTTATTTCCTTTTTAAACTGTTAAAATGATGTTAGGATTCTTAACCACCTTTGCTGCTTCAACACTGTCAAGTTTTTCCTCCAGCAGAACGCATCGTCTCTCTTATGTCTGGTTTAAAGGAAAGGTTTTTTCCCCCCTTAAAGCTCACACACTCGTCACTTTTTTGGGCGCGGGATGGGCCCTGGTCACGTTGGTAGAAAAAAGGGAAACAGGGAACAACTGACTTCACTCAGACCTGCTTATTCATTGTCTTGTAAAACCACTTTCATTTAACACTACGTCTTAACAAATCACTGATAGGTCTCGTTGAAAGTTAAAATCTTTCCTTATTCGCTTGCAAGATTAGCCTTTCCTTCCCACCCTCCGTCCCCCTCCTCAAAAATAATTCCAACTCCAAATACGATGTCAGTGTCTGCCAAATCAGCTGCCATTCCTGTCGGATAGAATCGGTCAACCACGTCGGACGCTAGGGCTGTCTTGCCTACTTTGTCCAGGTCGGGTTGGGGGGAAGGGGAGGCGAGGGGAGACACCTCCAATGTATACTCTTCTTCACAAGTTTACGATGTAGGTTGCTGAACCCTGACACGTCACAGAAAGGATTGGCTGAGGTCAAAGACGTCGACTGCTCATGGTTTACCCTCTTTTAAAACAGCGGTGAAAATTTTGGTCCCATGGGAGAAGCGTCAAACCTCCCTCACTTGTCACTGTCAGTGAAATAAGTCATATGCGTTACAAATAAATGCAACTACGACTCCAGGATTGCATGTAGTTGCATAAAACAAATATTTGGCACCAGCGCGTACTCATTTGTTTGTTTGTTTAATCGATTACACATTTCTATCTCCCGCTCGTTCGTTCACCGTCAACCGATGTTGCCGGATGGTTGATAACGATGCTGGTGGCGGTGGTCACACCCCTCGGAGGGTGAGGGATAGAGGATTAGCTACGTCCGCTCAGGCTTAAACCCTCGATGGGGGCATTAACCACTTCCATAAGGAACGAATGTACTTGTACCGCCTTGAGTTTACGAACAAGTGGCTGCAGACACGACTCCTCACTTATTTGGGCGTCGTCTCTACCGTTCACCTCGTCCGGTGCTTTAAAAAGCACTCAAGAGCCAGACACAACAGTCGTTAACTCTTTCACGACGGAAAGCTAATGATACATCGGCCTATAATTTGTACTGGCCAGGGCTGGATGGACCCACAAAAACGAAAGCAAATCCTAGGCTAGAGGCATTCAATAGAATTGGCTGCAAAAGCCCAAAATCGCATTCCATAACATCCTCCCGCCCAGCTAACTGAAAAATTAAAACAAAACCTGCTCTGATCCGTATACAACTAACGAGCACAAAAAAGGTTCTTTTAAAACACATTTAACGTAGCCAGACTGATGAAGGTAAAATACCTTCCCCCTACTACCCTGGCGTGGAGTTCAGCCTCCTGCTAATCGTTGGCTAGGATGCGTGTCTATCTTAGCGGGACAGCGTGACCCTCGATAGCCTTAATGTCTGACAGCCCATGGGATGAGCGTCTGTCTACTGGTGGGGTAGAAAGAAAATTTGGCCACTGACACTCCGCCATGGTAGTGGCATACCTAACACGGACATTAACTACCATCTGAGGGGAAGGTATCATTATCCAACATCAGTAAAAGATTTGTTTATGGAGAAAATGACAGCAATAATGCTCAAGTGGGGTAAGAAAAGTTAAGGGTGTTGTGTTGGTTGAGCATGTTACTGACAAAAACGACTACGGATAAGTGGATACCACTATGACAAAGACCGGTTCATCTAAACGGCCATCAAGTGCCATACATGGACATAATTTAGGGGAAGTGCAACATCTTCAACAGATTGCGGAGCCGAGGAATGGGTGACATAAAGGTCTCACGATAGTGTTTTCTCTAGCTGTCAAGAGGCATGACAGCAGTTCGGGTTGCATGTTTAGTTACGTGGGCATCTCAACCTCCCTAAAACTTCTTTTACCACCTTGGCGTCATGAGGATCTCCTCATTTAATCTGTACTCGTTAACAATCCACCAAACTCTGACTCAGACTCACCGAACCTTTTTCAGTTTTTGGCGTATCTGGACTTCTCCAGCTTTTAATTCCTTCAAGAAAGACTGCAGCGCTGTGCCACCGAGGAGGAGCGAAAATGAGTTGCTCTATTCAGGATGCAACGAATTACGCACCGCATTGAGGTCGGAGCAGAACTACCATTTGGAATTAATGGACACTCCACCTGCCAACAAATATTTATCCAGGAAGAGAGTTTCAAATAAACTGATAGTCGTTGAAAGTGAATTACTGGTCACACAAATATCCCTGGCCTCCTGCGCTAATGATAAGTATCTCGGCTACAGCTCACCCAGTCCTTTCAAACGCCTGTCCTTTAACGTTTCCAGGGGTGATCCAGATGTTGGAAATAGGTTAAGCTGATCGGGTCTGTCAAGAGAACAAATATTTGGGGAGGCAAATCCACTACTTTACAGACTTACCGCTCGGTAAACATCAGTCGAGCCTTGAATTCCCGCATCAGCCATGGCCGAGACGTATTTATTCGTGCCGACCACAAAAATAGTTTATGTTGTCGGAACAAGTACTTTCGTATTTTTTTATTGAGAGAACTTCCAGGCGTGCTACTACTATAATCTGGGGCCGTTTCAAAGTCCACATCGCAGGTGGGAAAAGGGTAAGGAGCAATAGGACGTGGCTGATACTAAGCAAAATAGTTGTAGTAGTGGTAGCAGCCAGATGAATGGCAAAGGAATTTCTACGGTAAAGGGGGATAGAATAAGGCAGAGAATGGGGGATAGACGCAGCAAGACAACATACAGACACACACAGGGAAGGAGATAGTTCTCTACTGCTGGCTAACAGGGGTGAGGAATAGGAGGGGAAGGGAGAGAGGGATCGAGTTCTGAGCCACCAAATTAATCGAGAAGGATTTCAAACTTGACCGGTTCTGGGTCCACATTTGTAGCGCCATAGAGACGGCATTGGACGAGGATAAGAATGTGCTTCTCCAACTTTTCAAACTGTACTGCCACTAGTGGAGATGTATAACCGTTCTGGCCCAGGAAAGGGAAGTATTGGTTGTGGAATACACCGCTGGATAAGGCCACAAAAGAGAAATTTGTGCGGTCAACGATGAGTGCATTCCCTTTGAGCAGTTTATACGACACTTGGATTGGACATGGGAAGGCAGGTAGTTAGTTATACTAAGAAACCATTGCATAGCTAGTGGTCTAAAGAAGTTTTAGATCATTTCAGCAATTAAAGATATTCACTAACTCATTCAATCATAAAAGCACCAGTCAAAAAAAAGTCCTCGAATACCAAACTCACTATTCAGTGCCGTTCTTTATGATACTCGGATAAAACTTCATTGGCCCAACGTTTTCCTGATCCTCAGGATTCTAAGTACAAGAAATTTAACGATTAATTTATTGACTACGAGATTTAACTATCCGGTAGAAATGGGGGAGCCCTAACCTGGCCTTCACAAGAGACCAGAGTGTGCGGAATTGCAGCATCAGTGACATCTGGCATCCAACCATAGACCTGAAAAAACACGAGAATGACGGTATTTGGAAAGATAGTGATACATAAAACCACAAATACCTACACGATTCAGCTTAAGTATGACACAGGGCTTGTCATCAGGATAGCCATAGTTGTTGGACTTGTTACAAGGTCCGAGGGACTCCAGATCAAAACGACACACTTTTTTCGGCTCATTAGGTGACTTTTGGTCATTTGTGCAATTCGCAAAGCCGATGGCTGGTTTCACATTTATTTCTTCATAATAGGATATTAAGGCGTTCAAGTTGTCGACATATTCATAGTAGACCTGAGGATCTCGGCTTGAGTAGTAAATAAGAGTCTTATCCTCATCAATGATGGGCCTCATACCAAGACCTACTTAAAAAATCAGATATTTCTTTGTTAAATAAACCTGGTTGGAATCTGAGGAGGCTCTGATGGCCAGTTCGCATTGGAACCTTAGCAGGAACAATAAATTGCAGAAAGACCATTATCATCCCCAAGAAGAATCCAGAGAGGATTGCATAGAAAAAACAGTAATAGAGAAATATTTTAGCTAAAAAAATTTAGAAAAATTAGCAGGAGAAAGAAACCAACCCCATGATGCACAAGTTCGACCTAGAAAGGACTTGTCTTTTTTGTTGTAGAGCCAAGTCGGGCACCGACTTGGTGGTATGTATGAAAGGGTCGACAAATTGTCCGAAAAGTCTTGCATGGACATTTTGCGATCGTGCTTAAAAGAAAGTGGGTGCCGGCCGTCAAAGCAAAATCTTGAACAAAACCGCAGAGACTAAATTATCTGAACTACAAGTGCAGATAAAAATAAACAAAAGCACAAGCGATGTATAAAACTGACGAGCAGCAAATATTTATGCAGGTACCTACATTGTAAAAATATTTGTAGACCTGTCTTCCTACTCGATCTTCCAAACTACTGCGCCAATGTTTTAAAGTTTGCACTTTATTAATGTCGTATATGGCCATTTAGCCAATAGAATTAAACAAACTATCAAAAATTAGTAAATGGCAAAGAACCTTTATTTTGTGGCATCCACAAATCAGATTTAACATGCGATCAGGAATTGTTAAAACTCTTTGTGCAAAATGCATAGACAAAACTTTGTTGTATGTTAGTGAATCAGGCTCACAAATAGATATGTAAATCTGCTCTCTACTTATCCTTACAAAGTTTGTATAATCACTACACTGAGGCGTCCCAAGACTCCTACGAGACAACAAAAGAAGACACAATACTCGGGCAGAATATACACATTCGGAATAGAGAATATGTCTGGGCTACTGGCATGGCTCAAAGGCCAGCCCACCCAAAGGGAAGCAAGGAGGCTAATTCAAAAGTACAAAAGCGGCGCCCACTAATACCGAGGGACAAATCACCATTGTATTACAACATATTTGCTAAAATAAAAGCCCATTTTCGCTACTTTTTTTAGAAGGGTGTTTACGAGCAAGGCATTCAGCACCTCACCTGCTATGCTTGTGCAGTAATTGGTCGTGCAAAAGACACTAGCATATGTGCCGAAAACAGCTAAATAACCTGGTGGAAATTGAAAAACATTCGTCTGTTATACTTGCTTTTAAAAGACACATACCTGTTATCATTAAAAAGGCTAGTTGTGATTATGCTAATGATTTTCTATCTTGATTAATTTGTTTTTTAACCTAAAAGTTGTTTGTTTACAAGCCACACTGCCGTCGCACTTGTTTTAATCTGCCACTGCATAGGCGGGGCATGCGCATTTCCACGCCCCATTAGGCTTGTGGTGTTATTTTTCTCCTGCTTATTACTTTCAAGAATAATGTCAGACACCGAATCAGAATCGGTAATCCGTAAACAGTTTCGTAATGTTGCTGGAAATAGGAGCTACAAGAGCTTTTATCTGTTCCGGGTGTGTACAAGGAAATTGAAGTTCCTAGGGCGTCAATTAATAACAAGGTACAGGCTTCATTGGTGTTTTACTTTGGTACCCTAACACATTTTGGGCTTCATTTTTCTGTTTTGCCGTTGTCGATTTTGGTATTTCCTACTCACCATCGCCTCTCATTTGTTAATTACTGTCCTTTTAGCCCCTAATAAACAACATCCTACGACAGATAAGCAAGTCGTTCCCCTGGATTGAACGCCTTGATGTTGTAACTGTACCAGCTCCACCTCCGAAGGACACAGATCTTGAAAACGATTTCGCTAAAGTCGACCCCAACGATGATTTCAAACGGGAGGCTCTCTTGTTAGTTCCATGATATTAATTCATAATTGTCAATTTCCGAACATTTTGAATAATTTGTACTGAAATTCTAATTTTCAGTTATCGTGTTGCGCAGGCTGCAGTTCTAGAGGCAATTCCTAAACTACACGAACTTGGGATCCCAACAAAACGGCCAAATGATTATTTTGCAGAAATGATTAAGTCAGACTCCCATATGGCAAAGGTGGGCCATCACTTTATTTTCCTCATAAACATACCTATTAATTCTTAGCTTCTATTAATAAAAAAGGAATTTACAGGTGCGTGAACACATTGTGGTGAGTAAGAAACGCCTGGAAATGCGAGAGAGAGCTAGACAGCTCCGTGAACAGCGCAAATTTGGCAAGCAACAGCAGAAAGAAATTTTGGAAGCGCGGCGTCTGGAGAAAAAGAAGCACATGCAGACTCTCAAAGCAGCGAAAAAGCGGCTTGGTGGGTTTTTTATCATTTCCTCAACTTCTGCGGTTATAATTAAAAGAAAGACAGTGGAGAAAGTGAAAATTGCATTCATTTACAAGTAGTCTGCTGTATTCATGCACCAAATTCTTGGTGTGGAATTAAGACTTGGGAAGCGTGGTTATTGAAGGGTTCGTCAGTACGGTGGGACCACCTTCGGCTATCCTGCTCCACTTCCTCATCGGTATAGAAGTGCTGGTCTCCAGGGTTTTCTTTTGGAGGTCCGAAGAAGTGGGAATGATACTTCTATGCCAATCAGAAGCCTAAGGCTGTTGTGGCATCTGCCATTGACTAGCCACTGTCTAGCCTTTATCAGCTTAACGGTGGACTACTCACTCACCAGTCGTCCAACTCTCTGGCTAAATTTGCACTGGGATTGAAACCCCCAAGATGGGGTAGTTGCAGACGTGTGGCTGTAGCCTTTGGGTGCCTTACCGTGTGCTATCACCTTAGTGTACTGTGCTTCGAATCTTCTGTAGGGTTGGATATCCGTAGGTTAGGGTTTTGTCTGTTCTACACATGTCTGGGGCAGTTCTATCACTGCAACATCCTTTTTAATGCTTGAGTAAGCAAGTTCTTGACTCTAATCGAGCATTCGTTGCCGTCGTAATGGCTTTTGCCTCTCTGTCTATGCTCAACAAATGAGGAGATTCACTACGTGCATTTTTTATTGGTAAAAATATAATTTGATTTAGTGACTGAGTTACTTCTTTGTTACTCTTGAGATGTAAGCGTCTAGGACGACTAGATGTGTTGAAGATCTCCGTAGGCCACTTGAAGTCCTGCAGTGGTGTGTCAGTCACCTTATAGGGCGAAGTCACCCGCTACTTGTAAAGGCGGTAAGGTCGATTAAGCCTCAACCTTTTTCCTCATTTTGTTTTAAACCACTTTTATTTACGACAATAGGTCCAAATATACCTACAAAATACCTGTAAAATCCTCTTTTTGGTGGAGAATCTAGTAACTGACGTTTTCCTCTTTGCTCAGGTGGCAAGGAACAGGCGCAGCTATTGGAGGAATTCTTGCGGAGTGACTCAAAACAATCGAAGGGGAAACCTTCACGTGGTGGGAATGAGGCGACTCTGGACAGAAAGTACTTCCGACCCGCCGAATACGCCAAACGTCGAAAGTGAGTCTCCTTCTTTTGCGTCCTGAAACCTTTCAAACTCATTGGTCCTCTCTAATGAGCAGCAGTAGCTGCTTATGTTCAGAAACAACCGTATTGCAAAATAGGTAGTGTTTGCTCACTTAAAAGACCTTTCTCTCCTGTCTACTGTAGGATAAACCATAGGCGAGCGTACAAGAACCAGAAGTACGGATTCGGTGGCCAGAAGAAGCGTTCGAAGCGCAATGACGCCCAATCAATTCGCACCACCGCGAAGGACGAGGTGAGTGTGCTCACACACACCGCCTCCGCAGAGCGGATCAAGCGGCTGGGCAGGCTAATGCAGAAGACCCGTCGACGCAACGCCCAGCGCCAGCGGAAGAGGGCCTCCGCCAACAAAATTTAGTCGGCGGTGGCAGTGGTCGACGAATCCTCTCTTTCCTCTCCCCTCCCGCGTTGTCGCTCCTTACCTGTGCAGGCATTTTCGCTTGTAAGTGTAATATACGGAGTCTGCGTTTGATCGCATTGTTGAGCATTTTTTTCCCCTACCGGTATGTCTGTGCAAAAGGCGTTACACAAGCTAGTCTCCTACTTAAATGGCTAGGTAGAAAGGGCCGCAGAATCTCGCCTGCGGTATCAAGTTAGTGATGGCGAAGCAACAGCGCCGCGAGCATTCCGTTTTCATTGTCGGTTGGTGGGACACAGATTCTCCCCTCCCACCGTCGTAGCAGACGAAGATAACCCGTCACTCGGTGTGTGAAGGGGTTGCAAAGGAGGCTTCCTCATGCTCCTCCCCTGTCGCAAATGACAAGACTGAGTCTCAAGATTCAAATCATCCTGAACATGCGGGAGTCTTGTTGCAGCAGAGGTGTATAAGGTAGCATGGAATGCACAGCGCTTGGAGGAGGAGGGGAGAGTGGAAAGGTGGGTAGTCGAATCCCACCACAAGTTAAGCTCTTCGATGAAGTAATTTGGTCGGTCTAGCTGTGCAAGGACCCAATACTCACAGCAAGCAGACTACGTTCAAATCGGTGCTCCGTCTGAATGGAGTCTTAATAACCGACCACCTCAGAAAATGGGATCGTGAAATGGCACCTCCTCCTTCACTTCTCCCTCCGGGGTTTTCAGGAGAGTGATCGCGGTGTCGTCCGCTAAGTGTCACCGACAGGCTCTTCCCTTTATTCTTGGGTGAAATAGTCGGACGACACTTTGAACACCTCAACATGACCTTGAAAGCAGGCCTTGATGACTGATTGGCGACACTTTCTTGGCGTTTCCCTCACAAAGGCTATCATTGTGTGCCAAGCAAAGGTCAACTTGACTTCGGGGACAAGACTTTGATTGGCTTGCTTCAGGATTCTGAAGGCTCCTTTTTAAAGGGACAATCAAACCAAATTTAACCAGCTGCATATAATTCCTTTCAATGGGGTGTTTGTGCAATTCTGCGACTTTCCAGACCACTTTTTGGAGCGAGGGGTTATCTCGTGTAAGGTAGAATGCAAATGGAAGGTCTGGAGAATCATACAAACCGCTCCAGCTCTCAAGCGGTTGCCTATGGACTTTGCAGAGCTGAAACAATTACAGAGTGAGACATTCCATAGGTCGTCTTTGCCAGATAGGCTGGAAGTCCTGGAAGGAAAATGTACGGTATTCATGAGAGAGATTAGGAGTGAAAAGTCTCCTTCTCCGTGTAAAAGTTGCATGCGTTTACACATTTTCGCTCCTCCTTTATAGCCGCTGAAGGGGTCTAAAAAGAATCCTTTAACATCTCATTCGTGCAGCAAGCAAGTGGAGTGTCTCGAGGCTTCGCTGAAATTGTAACAAACCAAATCAGTTCGGACGAACATACTACTTACTAACTAGCAGTAGGGTGGGGTGGCCTCTAACGCAGCTCCGAGGCTATGCCGTGGAGGGGGAACTGTCAAATCACCCCACGAGTCGTTTCAACGCTTCTGGAAATCTGCATTACTGGGAAAATTCCACTGCTTTGCTCAAATAATTTGGCATTTAAGAGCCTATCAAGATTAACGAGCCACTAATGCTACTTGGCATTACTAAGTAGTATACTCCGGGGCCTAAATTCATCTCCTGGATTATTTTATGACCGTGAGGCTCAGATCTTTCTCCACTGTCTCAAAATAGTTACAGGGGTTTGACGCTTTATTTGGCAGTGTTTACTAAATCAGGCGCCTCAATTTGTGTGACTTTTACCTCCGTTCTGGAACCTGGCCTTTAGGGTGTACTGGTAGTCTTCTAGCCCTTCCGTACGTTAGAGTGGTATGTTCTATGATGTCACTCTGGCTTCTACGCTTTCGGGGTAGACACAGGGCGCTGCGCTGGCAAAAAAAAAATAAGATGATAATCAAATGGCACTTATTAGTTTATTTAAGCACCATCCATTCTATCCATAATTAAGGGCCCAATTCGCTCAATACAAATGCTAGGTTGAATGTCCTTTTGTGCTTTCAGTTTAATGCGCCTACCGGTAGCCACGGCAGGTCCGGTTAGTCCACACGTTGTGACATTTTTCGAAGCCTTTGACCCACATTGCGGGATGATCATTTCATTTGACAATTTATTGCCAGGGAAAGGAAGAACATAAGTGCCTATGAGCCACTCTTTAGCAGATCAAAACGCGGCTATTCCGTTTATACTAAGAAATGGGGGGCCGCGGGCTAACTTGTCAATCTGCCGCAACCATTTTTTCGAGAGGGCGCATTTTCGAGCGCCGTGGCTACATCATAGAATCAACGAATCTCAAATCATCTTTTATGCTGTGGATACAAAGTCGCTGTTACATAACACCCGTAAGAAGTATTAAAGAAAAAATCCAAATCTCGGTAGATTTATCACCTACCATGTGAGCCCTTAGACACAAGGGAAAGGGAAACTACTGAGGACCCGTAGATTATCTTGCACATCGAGGGAGAGAAGTGAGGAATGGAAAATGAACCACAGCCGTTACTCGGCCAATCAATTCCTAGATCGAGACTTTTAAAAAGGGGCAACGAAGCAGATTAATTAAAAGACCCCTATTTGTAAAACCTTTTTTACTTCTCGTGGTAAAAAAATCAAAGGAATTTGGTAGTTTTTCGGCCTCACGATTATATGCGGTCTTTCTTCCAACTAACTAGAAATCGGCTTTCGTAATGTACATTTTCGTGGCCACTTAATTATTCTCGTTAGCCTAAGCGTTTTCTTTTTCACAGTGAAGTCTACTCCGCCAATTTTGCATTAAAGATTGTTAATTCACCCCTATGCAAAGAAAAATCTTGCATAAAAAGAGCAAAGCTGACAAAGATCACGTCTTACCTGCCCGTTATTTTAGTAATTTTACGTACAAAACTTGACGTCATGACCAGTTTGGGTGGTTCTTGAGACATTAGAATAACTCAAGCCTAAAATTTATTTCTCTAGATAATTTTAAGGTTAGAGTCCTACGGTTTCACCTACCAAGTCCATGTTTCCATGCCTTTGAAGCTAATAGTCGCGAATAGCCTCTACCCTTGTTCATAAATTTATATTTCTGGTAATCCATCCAGAGTTGATGCAGTAATGAGTAGGATGTCTTAACATAACTAAAGCTGCCAAACATTGACTTAAAGCGTTTATCATCGCCTTTTTTATCTACTCAGGTTGTTTTGATTTGAAAGGATCTTTAGTCAGTAAGCACGCACAGCGGACCAACCACGAGAGGAGGAGGAGGGGCATTTGTAAAATCCTCATTCCTAGACGTTGTAAGGTGTCTTCCCCTACCCAATCTTTTCGATCAGAGGATATGAAAGTAGATGTTGTGGAGGTAGCACTGCTACGTAACGTCTCCTTTGAAGTTAGAAATTCATGAAGTTGTCAGACTCCTTATCCATACTCCTATCAACTTTATCTTGATTGGCAAAGTTGATTTCTGACTGCCAGAGTCGAAAGTTGAGTAGACAGCCTTCGATTACTCTATCCTTTGAGAGGCAATTAAGAAGAAACTCTCTTTTCTTATATGCGGATACTAGCAACTCAGCGATTTGTGGACGCACATTGAAGGCATACAACGAAGTCACGTAGCATGATGAGTTTATTCCACCTGCTGTCAATGGGGAGAGGGGAAGGGAAATTTTCATATAGACGGAAAAACGACATTGTGAAACACACCCAGTTATGTAACTGTCAAACAACTGTTGTTCGTTGAAGTAACGACTTTGTTTATTCATACTGAATTGTGGGAGTGCTACAATGTTGAAGTGAGGCATACATGATCTGTCAAACCCCTTGACGTCTCCAAGGTTGAGTTTAGGAGGTGGCCTCCCATCCTGGTTCACAAATAAAATCCGATTCCAATATATTACAACTTAGATCCACCAAACATTTTGCACTCCTTTAACAGTAAAATGCCAAAAATGCTGCAGTGTTTTATACTACTCAAATGCACCAAGTAGTGGAAACGGTTGCAAATGATGACTAGGCTGTACAGAAAACCACCCACATCATTGTAGAGGCGGTCTTTTTTCACTCCCACTAAGTCGCTTGCCATCTCCAGCTGCAATACCTCGTAGAGGGTAAGTTGACAATTGTAGATAGCAAGGAGGAATTTCTGCATATTAAAAATTTTTAATGGGAAAAAAGGGGTAAACTTTCCTCTTGACACCGAGTAGGCACCATCTCTCCCAAGGGCGAGAGACTTCTACTAGCCAGTCTTCTCGGTCTAGGGATCCGGAATCGGAGGTAGAAGAAAAATATTGCGAAAGCATATAACTCCAAGTTATCATTAAAGTACTTAAAAAATTATACTTTTAAGATACTTGTTCCTGTCTGATGACGGATTCTGTTGCGCCTTTAACACTTGGGCATCCAACCGCACACACAAAATTTATGGGCACAGGCGCTGGCGGTGGTTGGAGCTCAGTGTTTGATGTGAGCGCTTGTAGAAATGACCTGTTTCATTGCTGACGCATGAAATGGGCGCGAGTGTCAGTTGGTTTGCACGAGGGTGCTGCTTTCTCTTCTGCCCACTGCTGTGACGTCTATACACCCTATAGACGGAGGTGAAGGGAAGAGAAGGAAAGGGAAGCCAACGTCGATGCAGCTTATATAGCTGTTGGTGACTGTTGCCCTATTATCTGCTGGGGCAGGGAGGAGACAAGAACTCCAGTTTTTGCATGGCAGAGTGAGGGCGAAGACTACCCACTTCTATGGAGCGAGATGGATTGAAGCTCTCCGTTCGTGGAACGCTCTGTTGTGTCACCACACGGGTATTTTTGCTTGTCTTATGATACGAAAGACTGCCATGGCAACAATAGTACCCTATAATTATTAAACTTACCGCAAATGCATTTGCCTTTATGATGAGAGCAAATGAATGGGGAAAACAATGTGAAAAGTTAATGAATGATAAAACGAAAGAATAAATATACGCAA